ATCGCCTCATGGTCCTGACAAAGTGTTGTTATTTTTCGGGTCGATCAGAAATCCAATACGGCCACCACGGCTGCCATTTTGAAAAACTATTTCAAACTTAAAGTTAAGTCCTACTTGGCCGATTGAACTGAAAGTTGGTAGGAAGGATCTACTCATGGTCCTGACAAAGTGTTGTTATTTTTCAGGTCAATCAGCAATCTAATATGGCCGCCATTTTGAAAAACTATTTCAAACTTAAAATCAAGTTCTGCTAGGCCGATTGAACTGAAAGTTTGTAGGAATGATCGACTCATGGTCCCGACAAAGTGTTGTTATTTTTCGGGTCGTTCAGAAATCCAATATGGCCGCCATTTTGAAAAATTATTTCAAACTTAAAATCAAGTTCTGCTAGGCCGATTGAACTGAAAGTTTGTAGGAATGATCGACTCATGGTCCCGACAAAGTGTTGTTATTTTTCGGGTCGTTCAGAAATCCAATATGGCCGCCATTTTGAAAAATTATTTCAAACTTAAAGTCAAGTTCTGCTAGGCCGATTGAACTGAAAGTTTGTAGGAATGATCGACTCATGGTCCCGACAAAGTGTTGTTATTTTTCGGGTCAATCAGAAATACAATTTGGTTGCCATGGCCGCTATTTTGTAAATACCTATTTCAAACTTACAAACAAGTTCTAATAGGTCGATCTAACTGAAAATCGGTCTAGGAATGATCAGCTCATGGTCCTGACGAAGTTAAGCTAACATTATACTTAACTATTTTTTACTCAAATTGGTACATATTTCAACAACAAAAATAAATACTGTAGGACTCGGGTGACCGTTAAGGCCCATGTGCCTCTTGTTTGACATATTTTCAGATGCGTGTTTGCTAATAAACTTGATCATAATTTATTAAATATTACAAAAACCCATTACACCAGATCAAAACGAGACTTGAACGTGATTGAAACTTCAGAAGAGTACATCCTTAATGCAATTTAATTTGCTCTTTACTTTAAATGTGTCTTTAAGGTCATTTTTCAAGAACGATAACTCTTGCCTGCAATTACTATGTGTATTTATTAATATAAAATGTCAATTTTTATATCTTGTATAGAGAATTAATTTTACACAATTTCAGCATTTATTAAATTGATATACATTAATGCAATACTAATCTATGTCAGTATCATTTTCATTGACATTATTTTGTAAAAATATTGTGTCTTTCATTTTATTTTCAAAATTCACTCCTTTTTACATAAATTTCCATTTAAAATCCTTAAAATTCTGACAACCTATATTTTTTTTGTGGCAGAAATTTTTCTTTACTTTAAATCAATATAACTACAAAATTTGAAGGGGCCAAGGAACACAAAATTGTATAAAGTGCATGTGGAAGGATTAGCTAGGTCACTTAATAAATGTTCTAACAACTCTGCCGTTTGTTCATCATGGATGAATATACATGTAAACGTTATTTTTTGGTCACCTTGGTATAAATTCCGCCATAATATACGCATTTAAACAGAGTTAAATCAGGTTTAAGAGTACATATGACAACGCATTCTCAATTAATAAGTAGCAATTCATCTCCAACGTCCTTATATCGTACTAAGCACATTTGGTATTTTAGCCCACCATCATCTGATGGTGGGCTATTCAAATCCCCCTTTGTACGTCCTTAACAACTCTTGTCATCGCTATTTCGTGGGAAGTACCTGAGGGATCTCTCTTTTAATTTTATATGTAGGTTCCCCTTGGTCCCTAGTTGTGCATGTCTTATTTTGAGAATGATCGGAGAAAGAAAATGGCCGACAGACAGCCATCTTGTATTTTTACAGGGAAGTTTGTAAATCGCTATTTCTCAAATTGTACATGTAGGTTCTCCTTCGTCCCTGGTTGTGCATGTTATATTTTGAGACTGATCATAAAAACAAAATGGCCGAAGGAAGAACGAAACAGATTTTTCTCACATACAGTGATCGGTTCTATTTCTTTCACATTATGTGAAATGACAAACTCACTTTGAAGGTTGTCATTTATACACAGTATTAAGTTTAGATCAAAAGTTACCTCGAGGTGCATTTACTGTTAACATGACTCGATCAAACATATTAGAGAAAAGATCGAATTGACAAAGAACTAATGAAGATGGTACAATGGTAGGCGCCCAGATCCCTCTGGGTCTCTTGTAAAATACTTCGAGTGACCTCCCATTGGATGTGTGCGCTTTAATTTATATCCAGTGAAGCTTCTCGAAAAAAATGTGTATATGATGGTACTTCAAAGGCCCCCAAATCTCCCGTTATCACATGGCCCCATATTTCGAAGGAGCCAAAAATGTCATATAGGCGAAAAATTTCACCCATCTACTTGATACTTGAAATTAAACGCACTTCATTGATGGAAAGGTCCTTCAATGCTATACACAAATTCTGAATTCCGTAGCTATCGGGCCATCCATTCCTCAAAGGAAAAGTAATTTCCGGCATGTTGGATGTATCAAAATTTGTTGGAAATATTTTAATGGGATATAATAAGAATTAACCACCATTCCTCCAAAAAAATGTTTGAAAATAAACTTGCGGATCACAAGTGAAAGGGGTAAAGCATCCCGAGTCGATCCCCCAGGGGCCGCTATATAGAGTATCGAGGATTGGGGTTCTGTTGAAATTCCATATGATCAACGTTTAATAGGACTGTCTGCTTTGTAATTGGCCAGATTTATGGTTGCCACTAATAAATAAATTGTTCGCGATGTTGCTTTCTGTATATGGTTATTTCCTCTTCATGACTATCTAAGCTCTGTATATGCCTAATTAGAACTAGTTATGTCAGTCCCCGCCTTGTATAAATAGCAATAGTTCTGTCACTCCCAGCCGTGT